AGATAATAATTATAAGAATTTAAAATATAAAATTATAAGATTAGGAGATTTAGGATTATTCAGATTAGCAAATGAAATCTCATCATATGGGCATATGGTGTATTGTCATATAATGCACCTGAAGTATTATACATGTAAATATCAATTTATACACAAGCTTCAGATATTTATAGTGTTGGAGTTATTATGTAGATAATTTCAACAGGAAAAATACCATTTGCTATTAGAGCATATGATTCAGAATTTGCTTTTGATATTTTCAGTGTACTTCGACCAAAAATTAATAAAGGCATACCTCAATGTTATGTGGAATTGATGGAAAAATGTTGGCATGAAGATCCAACCAAGCGTTAAAATGCTGAAATAATTTTTGGTACATTAAACGAATGGATTTCTGAATTATTTTTCAATGATGAAACAGAAGGAGCACTTATGTTATTAACTGCATATCAAAAAATGCAAAAAGAGGAATTATCTTCTATTGAAACTACTCATTCCGAGGCATACCTTACAAACCATCTTTGTAAAATTGTTTGGATTATCTTATGCAATTGAAATTTCTTATATTCTTTTTTTTTTTTAAAATCAGTGCTATTATTATTTCTAAATAATTTCTTTTATGAACCAAATAAATATTTTGAATTATTAGCATTTATAATTTATATTATTGAAAATCTTTTTTTTGTCAGATATGCAGTATAATTTTCATAACTTTCACTTTACGAAAGCATCATCTATTTTTCAATTCTTGATATGTTTAATTAAATATACAATAACAATACATTATTATTATATTTACGGCAGTATAAAAGATTGAAGATGTATTCATTTACTTTGTTCTTCCGGATTATTCATTATCTATTGTTCATTTTATTGCTCTTTCTCTCGTATCATCATTAATAATTTTTAATAGATTTAATTTAATTCGAATGTTTATTCTTATCAACTTGAGTCCAATTACAATTATATATGAATTTTATAAACCCATGATTCGTATCCTAAAGAATGCAAGGAATGAAAGTTAAATATTCTTATTAGGCTTAATAAAATTGGTGCGTCGCAATGTAATGCAATATGATGTAACAATGGATATATGGCGAATTATATAATTTTTAAGCAAAATAATTAATGGCTACGACGTCGCGTCATTAAAAAATTTATCTAAAATTTTAAAGTTTTCTTGTCAAAAATGGTAAAGAAAAATGTGTGTTTTTAATCATGAAGCTTTACCTTTAATTAAAATAATAAAAATGGTTTCTAGTTTTTAGTTTCTGCAAGTTAAAGTCAAAATAAATTTATTACTATAGATAAATTGAAATTTTCAATATAAGATAGTAACTTAATTCAAAAATTCGAGCGAGCAGATACATTTGACTCGGTAACTATTTTAATATTATTCTCATTTGGTTGAATATTTTCTAATTTCATACGAAAATAAGATGATCAATATTTCAATACATTAGTAAAAGATTTTCCGTATTTTCGACTTCAATGATAAAATCGTAATATTAAGAAATTCAATAAAGTTTTGCAAAAGAAATTTTTCATTTCGCAAATTTTTGAGTTAGAAAAAAATGAAAGAAACCAAACATATCTTCAAAAAAGCGCAAAACAGTAGAATATTTAATCTGTATATTTGATTTAATGTTTTTTAGTACGTTATGTAAACCAAATATTATAGATATTATGTAATGTGATACGAAATATTTTAACGATTTAAATATTTGATATTTAAAATAAAAGTTATACCAAAGAATAATATTTATTAAGTATATATGTATATATATACCCCGTTTACTAATTGTTCGTCCCTAATCCCTTTTCCGAAAGGGAATTGGATGGAAGTTTCAAAGAAATTTGAAATGGAGGGAATTCTGCTTACGGCGGTGGCGGGTTGATCGGTGGCGGTAGTTAGTTTACTAATTTATTTAGCCTAGGTAGTTTTTATTCTTCAATAATTTTTTTTTTATTAAAAAATTTAATATGAATAAAGACGAGATCCCACTGATCCTTTGAAATTACTAATTGTTCATCCGTGATATTACTCATTGACATTTTCCCTGATTTACTTTCGGAATCTGATTTCCTTTTTTTGGGGGGGGGGGAGAAAAATATCTTTATTACGAATACCGGGATATGTTATCCAAAAATTGTACCGTTAATTTTACCATAATAATAATGTGATATTTATGAGAAAATAGCAATGTATCATGGGTGTTAGTCTCCGGGATATATATTAGTTATTTACTGCTCAATCGCCGATACCATCAGAACCCTCAAGGCTCCGCCGTGGAATTCTGATGATATCTCTGATTTCACGGTAAATAACTATTACATATTAAACAATTATTTACTTAAGTGATTTGATTTTTATTTATTTCAATAAAGAGTTCTGGCTAAAGAAATTAACACATAATCACAGCCCATGCACGTCAAAATATAAACATTCAGACGAAGTATATTTCGTTAGATAAATTGCATACTTTAATTGAAAATGATAATGAAAAAGAATTAAGTGAAGATAAGAAATTAGATGTCATTTCTGAAGAGTCGATTTCGCATTTAAATAATTAATTATTCACAATACTAATTCCGAAAATTCATAGTTTTTAAGACATTTTTATTTATAACTTGTTTATAAATGAATTAATCGAATATTGCAAAAATAATTTTAAATAATTTAGATATCTATTCTATTTTGAATTCTAGTCGTTTGAAACGATGTTATTTTTCAAAAAAAAAAATTGCCTGCGTAAAAGCCGAAAGAAATTCAAAACTGAGAATTTAATCATTTCATGTTCAGTCATTTTACAATTTAGTTAAAAAAATCACCCGAAATTAAACAGAATAATACAACCATTGTATATTAAATATATCAGATTCTCATCTTATTCGTAAAATAACATCTGCGCCACATTATTTAATAGTAAAAAATAACTTTCAAAAAAAAATGTTAAACTCAAAAGCTAAAGCAGATTTTTCCCTTATAAATATTTAATTAAAATTAGTATCTTTAATTAACTGTTTACTTTTTACTTAATTGAAATACGATTAAAAATTTTGAAAATATAAAACTTTAATTTGGTTGTGGTAGTACACTGTACTAACCAAAATATTAGAACAGTATTTGTACTAAGTACTAATGTATTTTGTACAACTCGTACAAACACAGTTTGGAAGTACATATGTACTATAGAATTATGTACTACATACAATACAATACAAGTATAGAATAAAAAAATTGATAATCTTCTAAACACAAATAAAAAAAGCGGTTCAACTAATAAATTATTGTTGCGCAAAGTGTTATATAATAATAATAACAAAAGATAATAATTAATAATAATTAATAATAATAAAGTATAAAATAGTAAATCAACTTTAACAATCAAGGTATTGCGATAAGATGAAATCATGTTATGAAGTTTTAATTAAATAGAAAATAAATAAAATATAAATAAAAATAATAAATAAAAATGAAATAAAAAAATACTTTGAAATCATATAATTTTTATAGAAATTGATATCAAATGTCACATTTCAATTTCATTGTACTAAAAATTCTTAATAACTTAGTATATTACAGTTCAAAGTCCCGTGTGCTTGTCAAAAATTTTGTTCAATCAAAATTCAGAAATATCATTATTTGTTGTATTAATGTACCAATTTTAAAAATGCCTTTAGTACTAGTATTGTACCGTACTGTACACAAAAAGTACAATACAATTCCAACCTTGACTATTAGGTGATTATTGTATTGAAAAAAGTTTACTTTAACCAAAATGTGTTTATTCTAAAAAAATGTAATAATATTCTGAAATTAATATCTAAATTGTTGTGTGCATTTCGAATATTATCAAGAATAATTATTTTAAAAGATAAAGAAAAATAAAGGAGCAATCCTATAAGAGTTATTTGAAAAATATTATACACAAATTTATTTGACAATATTTTTTCTATAAAAATACAGACTAATAATTTCTAAAACTTCATTCATGTAATGATGAGACTGCACAAATCACTTGCATGAGATCTTAGTTAAAACAAAGTATAATTAACTATTTCAACATTGCAAAAGTTTGAATAAATAAGGATAATAGTATTATAATTGTAGTATTACTCCTCTAGTATTTACAGTATTTTATAATACTCAGTTTTGAATATAAAGTTTCAGATCTATGACTTATTTTCAAGAAAGTCGTTTGTCTTAATACGTTTATCATCATCTTTGCTTTGTGATAGATGATAGAGAGATAGTATCTCTAGTAGTGGAAGTAACTTAACAAAAGTCTCTCTATAAAAAGTATTTTTTTTTTAAAAAAAATTTCATTTTGTTGAAAAAAAAATAGAATGCAAATAATGTTTTCTCCATAAGTTTTGCATTTATATTTTATTATCTTAACAGATTTATTCTCAAATATTTCGTTACTTAAATTTTACATCCTTTGCAAAATTTTTTATTTTTTTTCATTCTTTTCTATTTGTTTTGGTCATTTACATTCCTGTAATAATAAAATATAGACAAATTAAGAAATTTTATAAATAATAGAACATGGTAAATTAATTATTTTAAAATCACAGCTGTAATTGAATGGATCGAAAGTTTCTTTAAAATGATACTGTGCTTGAGTGAAACAAATATTACATAAATTATTTACCAAATATCAGATTAGTTGATAAAGTAATGTGTAATTTTTTTTTGATACCTTTTTATACTGTATTTATAGGCGTCATTAAATTTTATTTAATTATTACGAATTCCTTTTTTGGTATTGATTATACCAAATATGTAATTTCTTAAATGGCTCAAAAATCATACCATACGAAATGACTTTTTTGTTCAAAATAATTTGTGGCATGATTCATGAGCTGATTGTCAAATTAAAAAAAAATTATGACCTGATCATCATATCGTCAAATTTCTTCAATATATAAAGGGGAGGTAAATTTTTACCCAATTCTTAATCAACTCTCTTCTTCTACTAAAAATACTAAAAAGAATGTCTTCAACTACTCAAACACAACAATATGCACCAGAAGATACGATTCTCGTTACCAATCATGATGCAGATTCACCAAATACGGGTGTTACTCGTGTTGTGGTAATTGCTATCGATCAATCAAAATATAGTCAATTTGCATTTGATTGGGCTGTAAAGAACTTTTTGAGAAAAGAATCTGATTTGGTTAGTAATTCAACTTTGCATTTCTACTTATATATAATTATAAATTTTTAAATTATAACATTTTATTTTAATCTAAAAGGTTGTATTAGTAAATGTTCGACCAATTGAAACGACTCCAATTCCGTACGGTAATAAGAGTTTTATTACCCATTACTAAATTAATAATAATAAAAATTAACAATTATAATCCTTTACAGATATTGGTCCCCGTTTCACGGATTTCAATGAAATTGCTATTACTTTAGACGATCAAGTATGTACAAATTATCTAAATTAAATTATTTGTTACGTTATATTCATAAAAATCGTATTCTTAAATAATATTTTTTTTTTTAATTTGGTTTTTTTTTTTTAATTAATTAATGTGATTTTAGCAAAGAAAAGAAAGTCACAATCTGCTACACGAATTCGCGTCAAAACTAAAGGAGGAAAACGTAATATTTTCTATTTTAATATTTATTTATCTTATCATTTATTTTTTTTTTATATTTCTACATTCTTTAAATTTTATTTCAGTTTAAATATAAAGCAATAGCCCTACGAGGAGATGCTCGAGATGAAATTGTTCGTAAAGTTTCTGAATTAAATGCTGATGGTTTAATTCTTGGATCTCGTGGTCTGGGAGCCGTAAAACGGTTAGTTTTATTTTCTCCTTTTCACTTATCTCATTAAAATTATTAAAAATTGCTAATAAATAAAAAAAAATTAGTTATTAAAAGAATTTATTAAAATTTTTTAGAATGTTACTCGGCTCTGTGAGTGATCATTGCGTTCACAATTGTCATTGTACTGTAATCATTGTAAGGGAAGATACGGGGAAAAAGTCAAAGTAATAATGCAAAACTGTTTTTTTAATGATAAATAGTCTATATTTTATATATATATATATATATACTTTCTTTCTATATTTTTTATATGGGTAAAATTAAATGTTCATAAAGGCCAAAATTTAAAAAAAAAACCTCTAGTTGACGATTATAGTTACTTGACTAGAAGGATCGAAAGTATAGTCGATGAAGTATTATAATTTTTAGACTTACGATTTAAATTAAGTAGCATATTTTAACACGAAAACATAAACATCTAAATTATTTAAAATTGTATCAAATTTTTAGCTTTATTTATTTTTTAAACTCAGCTGTTCTCAAATTATTAAGTAAATAAATGTAAAAATATAAAATTAACAATTACAGCATCCAATAAACATCAGGAACAGTTCCAATAAATGATTCTCCTTTTGATATTATATTTTGTAATATCATTTTGGCCTTTTCTTCATAAAAAATATAGACTTTTTAAGAAAAGCATAGTCATGATTTTTATCAGATTTTTCATTTTATTAAATATTTAAATAGTTGACTGCCTGATAATGATTTTTATTTGCTCGACTGTGAAATTGTCTGTGGTTCATTCTCAATCCATAATTTTATTAATTTTTATTCAATCAAGGGAATCATTGAAAGATATTATTTTTATTATTAATATTTTTTTTTTCAAATTAATTTGGCACTTCCATACAATAAAAGAATAGTCATATCTAAGATAGAAAGTTAAAATACTTTGGAGATCAGATCAAATATTAATTTTCAAATTTTTTGTAGCATATTAATGGAATCTTTATTTCATAATAAACAAATAATCAAATTATCACTATATTATTTATAGTTCTTTTAATAATTTCATTTTAAATTTCAAATTTAGACAGATTATTTGTAAATTATTGACATTTATTTATAATAAATTAATAAGATAAAAGAAAAATAAGAGAAAGAGAAACTAAAAAACGGAAATTTTTTTAAAAAAATTTCTCCATCCTCCTCAATTAAGTGATGAGTTCTAATACATTTTTTTTTTTTTTAATATCCAACGGAGTCTTGCTCCAATAAACTTTATTAATAGGTTAAGTGTAAATTTTAAAGATACAGATAATTTATTTTACATTTATTGAAACTGACTAAAAATAAAATTTTACGGTCCGACTCATCATTGCCTAAGTATAACCTCAGGAACTGATGGCCAAAACCCCATCAGATATGATGAGTTCTAATACATATTTAATAAAATATATATTATTTTTGAAATTTTGTTAATAGTTTAATAAGTACAATCAATCTTTAGATATAAATATTATAGTAGTATTATTATATTATTTTTACATAAATTATACATAATGACATTATCAACAAATTTATTTTGTATTTTTAAAATATCATCGGAATACAAAATAATATTGAACCTTACCCCTGATCACATTGATTAATTAATTAAATTATCCAACAAAAGACTGCTGATTCTATCACATTGTATATATTTATTGAAAAGCAAAATAAGTAAAATAAGAGAAATAATAAAATGAAAAAATATCATTCAGTAATAAAAAAAAATGGCACATGTTTCAAAACTAACATTAAAAAAGAATTCCATCAAATGTCAAATAATAATAAAAAAGCACTACTTCAAAATGACATCTCCGAAGTTACTCTAGGTGTGATTGATTTTGAGCTGGAGATATTATATCCATTATGATTTCATATAATTCATCAGCTACATTGGAAATAGATAATTAAAATAAATACAATAAATATAATAAATAAAAATATATAAAAAATATAATTACAAAATCACAAATTACAAATCTATATAGTTACGTAGATGAACAAGCTTATTCTCGAATGCAATCAATCTTATAAATTTCTCCTGTGATCTTTCAAACATGCATTCCATGAAATAATGCACATTATCAGTACGCATAGCTATATAAATTTTAAATCAAATATCACGTTAATAATATAATAAGGGTCAGTAAAAGGGCGTGTAATTACAGATCGAAAAACTATATTTCGCACACCTATTAGGTACCCGATAGGTGCCCAACCCACCCCGAATTTCAGGAATCTTTCGGGAACCCGATAGGTGTCCAATATGGTTGTAATAAATAATTCAGTATCGTAGCTACATATAAAACTTAGTAATATTTTAATGAATTATTTATAAATTAAAAAGTAACCTTATCTACAATTAAAATTTGTATTGTTCTGTAAAAATATTACACAATTTAATAAAATTAAGAGAATTATTGGCGTTTTAATTTGTACGGCCGTTCAAATTTTGATCCATAAAATTATTAGATTTATTTTATTTAAATTAAGAGAACTATTAGCGATGATACAAATTTTTATTATCTATAAGCCTACTTAATAACATTTTGACGATCTAAATAATAAGTCAAAAACTTTTATATAAAACTCAATACGTCAAGAAATTACTAAGTAGATCTATAGATAACAAAAATTTGCATCATCTGTAAAAATTTTAGACCTATTTCGTTTAGATTGAGAGAATTTATAGCGACCAAAATTTGAACTGCCGTACGAATTAAAATGTCGATAGTTTTCTACATTTAATTAAATAAGGCTGAAAATTTTAAAGAAGGCATACTTTTTTTTTTATTATCTACAAGTTCAATTAGCGGTATTTTGACGATTCAAATAATAAATTAAAAACTTTCATATGTGGATACGATCACAAATTATTTTCGATTTTATGTATATAAATATAACGAATTCACTATAAAAATAATTTGTAATCGTAGCCACATACAAATGTTTTTAATTATGCAACTTAATCGTCAAAACATCATTAATTAGACTTATAGATAATAAAAATCTGCATTATTTGTAAAAATATTAGACTTATTTGGTTAAAATTGAGAGAATAAGTTTACGTCCGAGATAAGATATTTAATTCTTTTTCTTTGTTTAAGTTATAAATATCAACGAATTTTAGTGTTTGAAAATTAATAAATAAAAGTAATATACGACATTAAATAGTTCTAAATAAGAAATTCTTACCATGAACATGTCAAAACAAAAATTGAATCTTCAATCAAAGAACAATAAATTAAACCAAGGTTAATAATAACAAATGGTAGTAAAAATGGAAATCATTATCATTATTAGAAAAAGAAAAGAATCATCAATAAAAAAAGAATTGTTTGTAGAAAATCCAAATTGTTTGCTGTAATAGAAAGTATTAGTAATAGAAATAAAATATCAAAGGCAATAATTATTAGTAGAAATAAATGTTAGTAGTAAAAAGAAATGTAGAAATTCTTATCTTAGAAATAAAAGAAACTAAATCATCAAAATAAAATAGAAAATTATTAGTAAATAAATATTTATAAAAAAGAATTTGTGTATTAATAAAAAAAGAGAATCATTAGCAAATAATTAATATATGTTAATTCAAATTGAATGGATAAAAATAGTAATAGCAAATGGCATAAATTTTTGTATAGTAGAAACTAGAATTAACAAATAAAAGTATGAAACAGGAATCGTTAGTAATAAAGAGAATTATAATAATCAGAAATCATTAATAAAAAATGTAGAAGTGGTAGTAGTAGAAACATTAATAAAAAATATAATCAAATCGTTAATGAGATATAAACCGTTAATAGAAATAAAATTGTCATTTGGTAGAAAATATTAAATCTCAAAAAAAATCAGTGATAAAAAAATATAATATACAAAAAAAAAATGCAGATGATATATTAATCTCTTTTTTGAAAGAGATGGTTGTGCTTTAGCTGGATTACAGGTATGGATCCATGCTTGTTTAAGAAAACTCTAAACATCTTCTTAAGAATTAGAATACTGTACATGTAATAAAGAGATAATATGATTATTTAAAAAATGTTATATTACATTACATGCAAAGTTCTCAAACATTACTGCAATATAAACTTTTGAAATATTATATAATTCATACCATTCCATTATCTTGTCAGGTATCAGATCCAAAGGTAACATCAACCAGAAGCCCTTGTACAATGCTTTGTCTCTCAAATTTCATGATCCTTCATGTGGAATTAAAGAAGCCTTATGAGAAGAAGGATGAAATTAGGTGTAGGTGTTGGAAGGATTTAAGCTGGAACCTTAAACATAATATATATAAAAGAGATTATTTCAAGAATATCTTTGAAAATAATCTATCAGGTTGTCAAATGCATTAATTACCATGATGATTAGTGATAAGTAAATCTGATCATGCCAGCTATCCCACCTTATTGCACCTACTTTAAATAGAAACTATAATTATTTCAATATCAAAATAATCTTATTCATAATTTATTAATTGATTTTATTTTTAACGTACCTCAATTACTTCACAGACTTTCAACATTGATGATAAGGTTAACAAAGCGATCTACAATATTCGTAGTATTATCAAATTTAATTTGATTTAATTTGCTGTTGTTGCAGAAATCTTATTAATCTTGATCAGCTTCTCCTTGATAAATAAGCTTTATTAATCATTCCTCATCAGGAATTTAATGAAGATAAAAAAATGAGCTTGGTGTCTTTTCCTAAGTAAAGTGATAATATCCTCACTATCAAAATAAAATTTCTTGTGTTACTTCAAAAAAAATTTACCCAACACCCTCTTTGAATTGAGATTCACTGTCCACATGACCAAAGTAATGTTCAAAAAATAATGAATAAGTTTGCTAAAAAACCCAAATAAATATGATGTTAAATTATGAAAATAATATTGAGAAACAAATTAACAAGCATGTAAATAGGTACAAAAACAATAAGACAACCAAAAGTGACATTGAAATCTTTGAAATCACTAGGTCCCTTCACCAAAAAAATATTATCTATAATTGAAAAATAACTGTCACATGTTATTAAATATCATTTAAAAGGAAAAAAAACAAACCAATATAAAAACAATAACTTACTTTAATATTTCCAGAAATCTAAGATATAGAGAGTTTAGACAAAAAGCAGTTGAAAGATTTTTATTATTTGAGGTTTATGTTCACGTTATACATAAGATCAGCCATCAGTCAGCTGATCTTAAATAATATAAAATCGTCAGTAAAAATTGGTAGAAAAAAAATGGTAATAAATTATTAACAATTTGTACTTTAACACCTACAGAAATGATTTGAAATTATGCAAAGGAAGTGACAAATTTGGGTATAAATTCTAAATATAAAGAAAGTAATAAATATAAGTATAGATTCTAAATATAAAAAAAATGTTAATTATGAAAGAAATTAATTAAATCATCTATTTTTTTAATCTAATAATGATTATTTGTAATAATAATAATTATTTGTTGCATAATAATAATCTATTCATTGTAATTATAATGATTCATTCTAATAGTAATAATTTTGTTGCAATAGTAATCTTCTTTGCAATAATAAAATGTAGTACCAATAATATTTGTAATAATAAGTAACAATAATAAAGAGATATACTTAAAAGTAATTACAATATGATATAATAAATTATTTTTAGTATAAAAATCGTTTTTTAGTAAAAATAAATAGATTTTTGAAAAAATTAACCAAAAAAAATTCCATGGAAAAAAAATAAATCATATTTATCATTATTCGTAAACAAAAGTATTTCATTCTATAATCACATGATCCAATATAACTTATGATTAATTATCGTGAATTGTGAATAGAGATACAAATTGATGATCTATCTTTTCTATTCTTAAATTTGGATTGCATTTCAAGCAATAAATCATGAATTTTGATAATATTAGTCATATAAAATTAAGTCAAAAAAATGTCAATGAATGTCAATAGAAAATCAGATCGATGTGCTTTTGAGAATATAATAAATTTAATAAAATAATATAATAAGATAAGACGATACATTAAAAAAATTTTATGCTAAATAATAATTGTTTCTAATAGTCATAGCAGCTCTACACTATAAATTTACTCTTTTTTTGTTGTTTATATTTCCTGATCATCTCAATGCGTTTTAGCATTTCGTCAATTTTATCTTCAATATCTATTTTGATTTTTTTTTTATAGTAAAAGAAGAAAAAAGAATTATTATTTATTACAATTATTTATCATTTATAAATAACAGACAATATACTTACTTTGGAGTCTTTCGTCTTCAGTATAACCGGAACTTGTTAATTTTGTGATTGGTAACATAGCTGCTAAGTTGACAGGTGGTTCTTCAGGTTGATTAAATTGTTCATAATCATCATCATTTTCGATTTTTCTTTCATTTTCAACCTCTGCTACCAAGAAATCAAAAATAAATGTAAGGTTTATATATATATTAAAAAACCAATGCACAAAGTTTTTATACTTACGAAGAACGTTATTTGTTTCCAAATTTTCGTCAGCATTTTCATTATTTTGATTATTTTGTTGATTTTTTTGTTTTTTAATTACACTATGAATAAAAATAAGTTAGTAACTCTTTTCATTTTTAATCTATTAATTTTTAAGAATACATACTTATTGTTTTCGATTGATGCCATGATAGCAGGAGCGAGAACAGTAAGAACAGCTAAGGCAGTTAAGGTGAAAGTAACAAACATTCTTTTTGATATATATACAAAGGTAGAAAAAAGATAGAAAAAAGATAAAATTAGCTTTACTTGGTTAAATATGAATCAAGGTAATAAAAAAATATTCATTTTAAAAGTACCTGAAACAGCAGTGTAAAGTGTGAAGAGATTAGAAATTCGAGAGAAAATACAATTGATGAGAAGTAAGTAGTGAGTCGAGAGAGAGTTCGGAAATTAAATTTTAAGATCAAGCAAGTAAATAGGGGGGGATTTATATTTAATTTCATGTTTACATGACACGTCGTCGTATATTTTAGGCACGTAAACAATTTATTATTTTTTGATCGGCGTATGATAATAAATTGTTTACGTGCTTAAACTGGTCATGTGAACATAAAATATAATAGTGATATACAAAAACCACAAGTTTTTAAAATCACAGAACAATTTTTCATAACATCTAGACAAAATCAGTAAGTCTCGCTAAATGCTCAAAAAATTTAAATAATATTTTTTGTGTAATGAAAAAAAAGACTGATTTTATTGTGCAACTTATTTCTTTATTAATTCTTGTGTAATATGCTATTGATAAAGTATAGTTTAATCAATAACATAATAATTGCTAAAGATCACTTGGCGGTGATTGTCACCACTGGGCAAAATTAAATTTACGTAGGCAAAGTTAGGGTTAGGGTTGATCAGGAAACTATGTAATTTTGCCCAGCGGTGACAATCACCATCGGTGGGCTTTAGAAATACCCTAATAATTAAATACACATTTCTAGTTCTTTTAGAGTATAATATCTTAAAAAATTCAATTGTTACTATGCTAATTATTTTAAGAAATGAAAAAAAATCGGATCAGCAAAAAATATGATATAAAGGAAAATTTTATTGTCTTATATTTCACTTCAAAAATTCACATTTGACAAAAAGCAATAATTTTTATAAAAAGCTGTTCTCAAATGATTACAAGAAGTAAAACCCAAAATAATCCCAACAACCTCAACAACTTCAACAACAACCAGAGAAGAGGGGTGCGGAAGACCTCAAAAAATTATAATCCTCAACAACAAAATGAACCAAAAAGATGATGAGGGAGGCCCAGAAAAAATGCTGCTGCTGTCCAACAACAACCACAACAGAAACAGCCTCATGACAGCATCAAGCACAATCTTAAGCTTTATATAAACAGCAACAACCTCAACCTCAATATCAACCACAACGATCTCAAGTTCAATTACAATAATACCAATCACATCAATGACAAAATCAACAACGGTTTGATATTCTGATTGCTGTTGTTCTTGGTGAGTTACAAAAATTTCAAACCACTTGTGGCCAAAAGAGAAAACATTATATAATAGGTATATAATTTTTATTTTTTATTTTTTATAAGACAATTAAATGAATGAATTAATAATAACTAAAAAAAAATATTGTTAGTAGGATGGAAGTGTTATTTTGGAATTAAGAAGAAGAATAAAAAAGGAGAAGATAATGAAGGTATCCCAGGTGAACATAAACGAAATAGGATACCTTGTAAGTATTATTTATCAAGAATAAAACATAAGTTAGATCAGTATTTTTTCATATTCTAAATCCATTTAATTTTTTAATTACAAATGAAGATTATTGTTGGTTTTTTTATGTATATTGTAACTATTAATTTTCTTTTATTTTTACATATTTCTTTGTCAATTTTTTAATTTGATTTATAAATTAAGTTTAATAAAATTTTACATAAAAAATGGTCATTATTCAAACGTTGTTTAATAAGTTTAATAATATGAATTTTCAATAGATAATATATGAATTATATTATGTGGTGTATAGATCTTTATTGATTATTATCATTTTTAATGAAATATTCTAAGAGGGTAAATAATAATGATCTTATTTATATGCTGAAGCAGCACCAAACAAGAATTTTATCAATATAATCAAAATCAAATGAATTCTGAAGCAAGCAAATGGATATTAAGAAATTTGAAGCTAATAAATAATTCCGTTATTTACAAAAATAATGGGATTTTTAAGTTCTGATGATATAAGCAAGTATTATTTTCTTGAATCATTTGTTTAATACATTATCTAAATGAGATTCAGGAAAATTAATCGTTAATTAGTTAATGATACAACTCTTTTATTTTATTATTTTATATTTTTAATTTTTCTTTTATTATTTTACTTAAATTAAAACATATCAGTATGAGATTATTTAAAATAAATCACTACTTCAAAAAATCTAAATATGAACAAGAATAAAATCAAATGCTAATAAAACTCATAACATCTTTATTATTTTAGATTATTGATGACAAATAAATATATGTACATTCTTTTCAATCAAAATAATAATAATATAAGTCCACAATTATTTTTTTTATTACAAAAATTAATGAATTTTTATTTTTATACTACAAAATACAATTACATGAAGGACGATTCTAATGACTATAATACTGTGCATTCGTAATTATCCTTTATCAACTCATAATTATCTCTTATAATTATGAAGTATATTTTTAATCCCACCTATGAAGATTTCATGTAATTGCAATTAAATTATAGCAAAATTATTATTTTCTAATTATCTGTCTGTCTTAAATAAAAAAAAAATCATTGGACAGTTTTGATTTATCATCAAATCATCAAAAAGTTAGGCAATTGTCAATAATTTATTTATTTATTTTAACAAGTATGACATTAATCCAAGATGTAATAAAATTATAAATTAATCAAATAGTTAAAGAAATAGATTAAAAATATTCTCATTGCAAAGGTGATGTTAAACAATCTACTCAAGTTTTTCATTTAGTTTTTTTTATTTTAATACTTCGTTTAATTTATTTCTTTATTTTTTAACGAAAGAAGCATAATACAAGCAAGAAAAAAAAAATTTTTTTTCGTTGAAGACTTAATTTAATATTTAATGTGATATGAAAAAATTGATCAAGGAAAGATACATTAAATAATATATATAATATAGGAATTTTAATTAATAATCTTGCTATTTTATGTGTTTCCGTTTTTCCATTTTGTGAATTTATGATGCAAATATATGATTTATATTTTTGTTTCAAAATAATTTTATATATTTTTAGTATTAAAGATATTAATTAGGATAGTATTAAAATAAGCATATATTTTATAATAAACTTATTTTAGCATAAACATAATAATATTTTATTAAAGTTTAAAAGTTTTTTTTAACTTGATAAGTATCAAAAATCCAAGAAGAATAATTCCAATAATAGCAACAACAACAATGATAGAAATAATTTGACACGTTATTATTCTTCGATGAAAAAATTATAATTTTCAATTGTTTAATAATTAAAAAAAAAAATAATCATCATGTAAAAAATAAAAGAGGGTGATGATGTTCAGTAAAAATGTTTTAGTAAATATCAAACCATCATTAACATTATCTAAAAAGTTTTGTTGAAAATTATTTTTCATCATCATTAACATCATTAAATTCCTCTTCCAAATGCATTCATGACATGATAATATCTTTCTTCATTATCTTCTTAAGGAAGTATTATCTGAAGAAAAAATAAAGGTTAGTAATCAATTCCAATTAAAATATAATAGGAAATTTTTTTATCAATGTTGGTAGAATAAAGTTGATGGCAAAAAGAAGCGATATTAGTAGTAGTAGTAGTAGTATTTTTTAAAGTATAATTAATAACAGATATTTTCTGTATAATTTTAACATTGTCCTCATTACTGATTCCTTAAATCTTCGTAAAGATAATGACAGTGTGAATTGTATGAAGTTTATAAGATAATAACGTTGAAGATAAGTTTAATGATAAAATCACAACGAATTTTCGAATATACAAGAAAAAAAAATGTGTAAAATGAAACAAAAATGAGGTGCGTAAAGACAATTATTTTATGCGTGACTTTTATTGAGAGCAATTTAGAATTTCTAATTGTTCGTATGTTTTGTATGTGTCAATTATTTTAGTATTGTTAATACCAATTCATGCGATAAGTTAGATAAAGCGTACACATACAAGGACATGATTCGACAAAAAAAAAAATATTAATCAACTTGGAGAAAAAATATCTTTCTTTGTAGAGCTATAGATTTTGACTTACATATATAAAATAAAAACAGTGGTGCCGTTCCTTCACGGATCATGACTTAAATTACATTAACAATCTGTAATTCTACCGATATGAAAAATGCTTTAGATTCTGATTAAATGTCTTGAACAAAATTGTTTTATAGATAAATTTTAAAACTATAAAATAATTATAGTCTGGTACAATGAAATGAAATAACTTTTTTCATTGTTTAATATTTCCTATAAATACTTCATAATTATCAATAGAAAAGCAGTTTGATGTTCTTATAGGTAGTTTTTCGTAAAAATTAGATTGACATATACTTTAATTATTTTTTGCAAGGATTGCGCATTCAGTTTCGTTTGCTCTGCTAATATTACTCTTCTTCATTCACTTTTGCCACAGCAACTGTACAAGCGTGACCATGGAAGATATTCCAAAATGTTTGTGGGAAAAACAACTCCAGTTCCATTTAAAATTATTTGAATAATTAATTATTTTACGATCAGCATACACGATCCTGGATCTTTGGGCTACTAATTACAAAAAGATAATTCTGTAACCAAAACTGGTCAATAATTTTTTTAAAGGTCAACTGATAGGTGAAAATAATGAATAAGTGGTAAAAGAATTCCCTACTTGATGATATAGTCTTAAATGTTAACTTCTTTCATTTGCAAATCATCTCATACCAGTGAATATTCTGGAAGAAAAGCAAAATCCGAGATATCAAAAAAAGATTTGAATACTTGACTATGGCATCATTACAAATTTTTAAAGTTTCCTTGTCAAAATAATATGATAGACTAAAAAAAATGCGCTTTTAATCAAGAAACTTTATCTTCAATAAAAATGAAAGATAGTTTCCAGTTTTGGATAATTCTACAAGTGATTTTCATTAGAAAATTTCAATAATATATAAATTTATAAAATAATAATACTATAAT